ACCGGAGCCGGGCCCCGGGTGACGCAGCTCCTCCCGCCCGCAGGTACTGGGCCAACCTCAAGCTGTGGTTCAAGCAGAAGATCAGCAAGGAGGAGTTCGACCTGGAGGCGCGGCGGCTGCTCACGCAGGACAACGGTGAGCGGCGGCCCCGGTGCCGAGGCCCGTCCTGCCCGGGAGCGGCCTCGTCCCCCGCCCCACACCCCTCTCTGGAGTTCATCCTCGCGCTTCCCAGCACGTCCTTCCACGTTGCAATAGCCTCGTTAGGAAGATGCAGCCTATTAGGAAGCTTGGCCCTGCCGGTGCCAGCCCTCCGTGCGTTTTTGCATTGTTTTTGAGTGTTTGGGTTTTTTTTTTCCATAGCGAAACCAAAAGTTGTGCTGCCGGGAATCTCCCTGGGAGAAGGGGAAATGGATGTGCACTGGTTGAATACGCTGAGTTTCTCATGTTGCCCGTTTTAAGAATGGGTTCCTGTAACCCAGCTGGTGAAGTGGCCAGAAGTGACCTTTTTGTGCCACGAAATATAGCTTTGTTAGGGCAAAAAGCTTTTGCCACAGAGGTTAGGGCTCATATGAAGAAAAATAAATAAATAAAAAGGCATAGTGAGCTCCTTTGAGATTGCTGCACTCTTTTATGTTGCTAACAAAAGCATCTGTCTTTATGCAGTCCACTCTCACAACGATTTCCTGCTGGCTATCCTTACCCGATGCCAAATCTTGGTTTCTGCACCAGGTAAGTCCTAAAAAGATTCATTTAAAATAAACAGATACAGGATTTTTCACACATCTGTGTTTAGTAGTGGTCTTAAATATATATATATATATATATATACACACACGCACACATATATATGTTATATATATATATGTAATATATATACATATATATGGCATTCTAATTCTGCAGACCTCAATATGCGCCTTCTTTGCCATATAGTAGAAGCTGTGTTAAGCAATAGTGACCCGAATCATTCAAGTAGAAACACTTTTATAAGCAAGCTGCATTCCTGATCAGAGACTCTGCTCTTGTTTGCAATATGCTACTTTGATTTCTAGATTGGGTAGTTGTTGGGTTGCAAATGCTGAGAGCTAAAGTGTGGAGGGAGATTCTGCTTTGCTGTCGTTGATCTGCTCTGCTTATTGCTTCCGATTGCTCTTGGCCTGGTTATACTTTTTGTGCTCCTCTCTGATGGGGATAACATCCCCATGGTGGGGGAGCTGGATTTTTCTGATAATCTTGGAATCAAGTATCTGTCTGATAGAAAAATGCTTACTGTGAATGCTTACAGTAGAGGCTTAATTGAGCCAGAGCCAGTTCCTTCAGCCCCCTGCAGCTGTGATAATTCAGCTTTAAACGCTCTACGTGTTTAGAAAGGCTGTTGTCAGCATGGCAACTCTTTTGAAGATTGAACAGACTATTATTCTTATCAGATCTCTAGGTGGAGATAACTGAGCTGCAATTTAGAATGTGAAAATGCTGTGTGGCTAAGGAGAAAATGTAGCTGACAGGCTGAAAACTGGGAAATTAGGTTTCGAGAGAATGCCTGATGTAGCTAGAGGAAGGAAAAATGCCAAGTTTGTGGCAACAAGAACTCCTTATCACTTATGACGAGTCATAGGGGTTCCTTAGTGTACCAGCTGGGATAGTAAAATACTATTTCCTCTCTCAGAAATTGCCTTGTCCTGGCACTTTTGCGCCAGGCACTTTTTCTTGAGTCCCAATCTAGTTTTCTTTAGCTGGCTGCACTCACGTAATTCAGAAAATTCATGTCTAAGTTTGACTGCTTGTTACTTACTTGCTGGGTTATAAAACAGTGTCAAGAATAGCAATTCTACTGAGTTTTAACCTGAAACAGCATGGTGTAGCAATGCCTCATATCTGAAAATCTTTAGATAAAAGACATTTCATTCTATGATGGTGATTGTTAGTGATTATATCCTAGTGGTATTCCATTAGATACTTGATAGGATACAGAAATTAATGTTATGAACTTTCAATGTTTACTAGTAAAAATAAGACTTTCTTTGAAGTTAGGAACTAAAGTTGTTTAATTTCTATTAAAAAAAAATCTTTTCTTGATGAAAGTATGTTGATGTTCTGTGACTCCTGTAAAGCACTATGTATGGAACACAATTTGTCTTCTGCTTCTGAAATTTGGTATCCCATCCCCAATTCATTCCTTGGGACCTTTTTTGAGTATCTGCCTGGGTGCCAGGACCTGGCCCTCTGTCCCAGGGTTCGCAGCATTAATGACAAAATGCGCTCAGAAGTCTGTGATCATCCACACTGTTCTTTGGCTTAACCTGTCCTACACACTGGTAGATGATAGAAATCAGTGGACACTTAAAGTATAGAAGTAGGGTGTTAATACAGTGAAGCTCCCCTGATGCATGTTGAGTAGTATGTGGTTCATATATGCTGTAATTGGGCATTGCTTTTTGTTTGTTGCTTTCCTTAAGCACTTTCCAATCGTTTTCTGAACCTGTGATACTAAAAGCTCAGTCAGTATTTTACATTTTCAAGTTTCTGTAGGTGTCTAGGAATTTGATAAAAATGAGACCCAGCAAAAAGCAGTGTTGTGCTCCCTAGGTACCCTCCATGTGCTGTGAAAAATGCTCATTCTTTGTTATCTTTTAAAATTTCAAGTCCTTGCAAGGACTTTGCTTGTCCTATTCAAGCCCAGCTTCTCTAAGAGCTCTTGAAGAGCCCTGCTTTGTAACACTTCAACAGTGTGTAACCAAGTGCTACTGCTAGCTGAGCAGCTGCTTACTAAGTTGGTGACCTCCAGTGCTTCCAGGAAGGCTTTTTTGTTGACTTGGTGCCTGCAGTTCTGCACAAACCATCTTGAAAACAAATCAATTTCATCTGTGTTTGTAAGACAGTTTGCTACCAGCATGTCCTGTTAACTGCTGAGCAGTCTGTTCTGGAGTCTCTCTGTTTTGATCTCAGTTGTCAGATCTATGCAAATTCTTCCAAGGATTCTGGAGCTGATGTCTGCTGAGACACCTCAGCCCGGGCCCTCACTGACTGGCTAACTGGCAGAGCTATTACACATGTATTTTACTAGACAGTCTCCTGTACATGGCTTGGTGAGTTGTGTGTGCAAATCCAGGCAAGTTCAGTACAAATGGGATACTGGATGATCTGTAGTTTCCTTTTTAAAACACAAAAAAATAAATAAGGAGAGCTAATGAGAGTCCTGTTTCTGCTGCTGTCTATTGTGTGCAAAGCTGTTCACTTTGTGATTCATGGCAGCTAGTCATCTTAAAGAAGTGCACCTGATGTGCTTGCCATGTTACCACAAGTGTTGCTGACACATGTAGTTTTCATCATCATGAGGCAGGGAGGAAAAAATCCATCTTTAAAATGCTATTTCGTCTTAAATTTAAAAGAAAAGGGGGGGGTCAGTGTTATAAGCATGCCTGATATTGTAGTATTTAGAATAGGGAGCTTTGGAAAATGTATGGTTTGGGAGGTACAGATACGCCAGCAAACCAATCTTATCAAAATTTTGGTACATCTGATAATGGTGGTTCTACAGGGGCTTATCCTTAAATGCCAGGCAAGTGTGACCCTTTGGCAAGACAGAAGTTTCTCCATTTCACCCCTGATCTGCTTAGGCTGTTGGTCACACAAACTTCAATTACAATTTAAAAGCCTGTGTGACACAGGATGTTCAAGGCTTGGTAATGGTGAGGGAGGACAGCTCTCAGATGTAAGAATGATCAGCTTTCTTTAAGGTATGCTCAGCTCCCACTGAGGACTGAGCAGGATCCTGAGGAAGCGCTGCTTGGAAAATCCTAAACCTGACTTTTCTGTCTTTTTCTAAGGACAAGTGATAAAGTCCCTCCACCCTGGTGTAAAGGTGTCCAAAAAGATTTGAGTGGCACTCAGTTGCAGCAACTGGGAGGTTGGGTAGTGCCTGAAAGTGAGGAACTTCCCAGAAATACGTTATCTAAAATACTGAGAACTGCCTTAGTGCTGGTTCCCTAACAAAAAACAACAAAATCTGTTTTCTTTGGTATTCTTTTTTTTAAACGACATTATCAGAAGTGCTTGTCTGAGTTTGTCTGGATTTTTAATTTGATAAATTCTTTCAAGAATAAACCCTAGCAACCTTCATGCGTTTACTTAGTAAGCTTATCTTGTATGTGGAAAATCGCATGCAGTCAAGATAACGAGATTTCTTGAGTTAATATATCTCACTTGAGTACCTTCCTCATTAGCTAAAAGTTGATTTAATAAAACTGAAGCAAATGCCAGCACTTGAGTTTGTGATGAAAGTGTTTAGTGTATTTCCTAATAATCTTGGGCCAACTAAGAGTTGGTTCAGAGAGTTAAAATTCTTGCCTGGA